ACAGCCATTCTAGACAGAAGATCAGGAAAAGCTTTTTAAAATAAGTCCATCTCTGACCCATGTGCTGATAAAAGGCTCATACAGTCACTGTGGGAATTTGCAATAAAAAATTGTTATAAAGGCAGCAGCAGTAGACAACAGGACAAGGACAAGGGCACACAAAGCAGGAAAAGGACTGCTGTGCCTTCTTACTACTGTATTGTGCAGCAGTGAAAGTCAGCAACTGTAATGAGGTCTGGTGGTGCTATTTGCTTTTCTGAGATTTTTTTCTTCACCTTGCTGTTATAACAAGCCCACTGGATTGTTCTGGACACTTTGAGAGCTAAGCTGGGGCAGAAAGTTGCCAGTCAAGGTCAGCCCTTGAACAAGGGTGCACACTTGTGGCTGGCAGTGCTCTGTGAGGGCAGGAGATGCACAATGATGATTCAGGAGACCAGCTTCAGAGACACCTGAAGAAGCCTCACGCTGGAAGCACCTGCAGTTCTGCCCAAGGAGGAGGTCCAAGGTGCCCAAAGGTGGGCTAAAAGTGCTAATTCTGGGCTTCTGTGGCTCTGTGCTGCAGAGCAGTATGGCACTGCAGGGATCCATAGGGGCCAGCAGTGGGTCTGACTTGCAGACTGCTTCAGGGATTGCACACAGTGCTTTGGCCTCTGAGGGCTGGCAGGAGAGTCTGCCACAGCTCAGCCCTCCTCTCCAAGGCACTGAGTTTGTCCTGGGCATCTTTTCACAGTCTGAGGTCAGGAGTTCCATCTTGCCTTCACCTGAAGGGTGGCCCAGTTACATCTAATGCCTTCTCAGAGGGGTTTGCTCTGGCTTGTCCTGGTGAAAGCCAACAGCTCCAGTTTTTTTTTCATTCCTCAGCTTCAGACCTGTGATGCTTTGGCACTTAGAGATGTGCACATGTACCATATGGACATGATGCAGTCTTGCTCTCCTAATCACAACCTGGACTTCACTGTCTGGAAGGTTTTTGTATCCAGTGGCTTACTGTTAATTCAGATGTTTATGCTTAGAGCAAGGTGTTGTCTGCAGAATTATAGGTCATTTAATCTGGTTAATATGGCTAGCTCAGAATTGCTTCATATAGGTAAGTCTCATTTGCACAGTTCCCACTCAGAAGAGAGATGGCTCATGAAGTGCTGTTTGAAATCCCAGCCCTTGGATGGGTTAAGTCTGTTCTCAGGAAGGATGAGCCAACAGAAACAATGAATTAGTTGCATTTGGTAAATCACAGTTTTACTAATGGTGTTATCCATTCTGGTGTATAAATTCCCCTACAGTCCATACTCAAAAGCCAGCTTCCCTTTAGTTTAAAAACACACATTAGTTGCCGTTTTTAAAAATGGCATTTGGAGTCTTTTGAATACTTACAGACTGCATCAAACACACAATAAAATGAAGTGTGGAGTATAAAACTGCTTATATAAAGTATATATGCAAAATTGCTTATATGAACTATATAAAACTGCTTATATATTCTTCTCTGGCCTTGCTCAAAGAGGAGGCTTGGGGAAGATGACATCCTCAAGGATGACAAAATGATTTATCCAAAGATGGAATAAACTTGATCTGGGAGTTTTGAGGTCAAGTCTCTATGTATGCCCTTCAATAAAGCTATTGGAGTTGTACCTGTGCTCCCGTCTTGTGCCTTTACCCTCCTCTTCCCAAAGAAATAGATATAAAAATTCAGGAGTGTAATCTCTGTTAGCAAGTCTTTGGTGTCTGGTCATCAAGAAATATGGTCAGGACAAGCCTGGACTAGGGCCTGGTTATTAAGGTACAAATTCATGCCCCACACACAGCCCTAAATACCTGTTAGCATATGCACATATGGCTGCTCACTGGTGCATGCAAAGATCCATTTTTCCTTTGGTCTACTTCTGCTGGATGTCTGTTTCCTGACTGATGCCAAACAGCATCCCTTTGGATGGATTTGTCCGGGTAGTACAGAGCAGACTCTGCTGTCTTGGACTAGCAGTGCCTTGAGATGCAGCCTTGGTTGCTTTGATGATCGTGTTTCTCCCTTCTGATCACTTTGGCCAAATAATACCCGCAGCAGAACTGCAATAAATGTTCAATCAAGAGAAGTAAAAGCATTGACTGAGGCTGAGTTTAAAATCTTTTATTATTTAGCTTTGCCAAACAGATAATGGAATCTGAAGTTGATTTGCTAAAATGTTTTGAAGTGGATGCCACCCCTGCCTGAGACAAAGAGGACCTCAGTGGCAGCAGGGACCTTAGGCTATGGCAGCAGTTCAAAAGAACACTTTTGATTTTGTATGCAACAATGTAAACTTCAAAAATAGTAAACTATAACCTTTTTTCCCCCCCTTTTTACATAGCATGTGATCTATCACAGATAGAAATTTAATGGCGAACCAAAATCGCATAAGTAAACATCCTGGTGCTTACAAGTTTCATAAAAAGTGTTACATTTGATGTAAATATCTTACATTTTTAACTCTTAACACTCACAATTATGGAGTAAAAGCAACTGGCGATTCACCCCCTTAGTCCATGCTCTCAGACTGTACATCAGCAACCACGCTCTTGCCAGCCCCTTGGATCATTTTCGGTCGGATTTTCCCACACATGGCCAAGATTTCCCCTTCCTCACATTGGCATTAATCAAGCGCAGCTCCACACAGGGGTAAAACCTGTGAAGTGAGAAGAGAACCAGGTCTCCTGCGCTCGAACTTGCAGCCCCCTGGGCCCCACGCTCCCACAGAAGCCACGGCGTGTACGGGAGGCACGTCCTGACATCAGTGGGAATTTGGGGTCCTTCGGGGCCACAAACCTGAGCCCTGCCTTTGCAAGTGCCTCGCAGCAGGACCTGGTTCTGCGTGGATAAAGACAAGAGTTCTGTAGAAGGCACTGGATTTCTCTTGCATGATTTTAAATGTGGACTACAGTCATATGCAGAATAAGGAGATTTGGGCTCTAGACTGCTTTCTCTCTATGCTTTAGTGCAAGCATTTTTTGCGCTTGAATTTTCCCTGTTTGCAGCGCAACATGCGCTCACCTACATAGAGTGATTTCTAAATCTTCCTTCTACTCTTCCTCCCATCTTCCTGTCCCCAAAAAGATTCCCTTTTTTTTTTTTTTTTTCTCTTTGAAAACTTTCAAAGTACATCTCTGGTCAAAAAATAAACATGTGATGTAGCATAGCATTTGTTTCTTTTAAATCACAGTGTGCAATGCATCATTCAGTACCTAATGTTCAAAATGTCTGCCCTGCTTTTCATGAAAGTCATTCTTTAAAATAACCTATGCAAATATATTTTGACTATATATTACATTCATTTAAAAAGAGAAGAGAGGTTCTTGGTTTGCAGTTTTTTCAGTGTACTACTTAAGTGAAAGGTCAGATGTGAAAAAAGTACAAGCAAACTGGACATGCCAAGACTCGATGCTTTAGATGGTGATCATATCAAAACTGTACAGATATGTACACCGTGTTGGACAGGTGTGCTTCTTCCCAAGAAAAGACCTTTGCATCATCATATATAACGTTAACCACAAAGTTTTGGTAAAAATAGCATTTAATGAGCAAAGGACGACATGGAAGGGCGAGTTCTCCGACTTTTATTAGGTAGTCCTGAAGCAATGTCTCCATTCCCTTCGGGAATTTCTTCCTTCTTCCGGACTTTGAGACGTGTGAGGAGCTTTATTACCCAGACATCCCATTCCTCTGGCAAGAGCAACAGGAGGAAGCCCAGGCCAATGATGACAATGGCGATTACTCGAACACTATTGAAGACAATTTCACTCGTGTAGTGATCGACAACTGTGTGGGACATTGAACAGGTGTTATTACATGGGAAAAGGCATAAGGACAGCATCCCCTTCTCTCCCCATCACCTGCCCAGCTCTGAGGGCTGCTGTGGCAGGAGAACATGGCCATGGAGGCAGTGATGGCAGGGGCCCTATTTCCTGCTGGTTGAGCACACAGCAGGGTATGTTCACCAACAGCACAGGAACTCCTTCTGAGGTGCAGGGACACAGAGAAAGGGGCATTTCCCTTCCCTGCACAGCAGCTCCTGATTGCAAATTTTTCTTGTCACCCTGAGTGCTCTGTGAAGTAAGAAACCTTGCTTGGGCTGAGCCATCCACACACTCTGGAGGCAACCACACCTTTTGGTAGCCAAATCTGCCAGAGCCATGCCCGGCTGTGTGCACTTAGCATGAAGCTGGGAGCTGCCACCTGCACCGTGGCACCAGCTGAGCATGCTGGGTTTTAGGAGCTGCTTTAGGCTGGGATTGTGTCTGCACTCCCCTGCCCAGCCCTCTCAGACTCTGCAGTCTCTTGGCTTTCACTAAATTTCAGAAAAACTGTCAGAGAAATGTACCAGTCCATGTCCAGAATTGAATTGTCCAGTGTTCTTAATAAACACCCACAATGTTATTTACCAAGGCAAGCAGAGTTACTAGTACATCTGAAGTACTACATCTGCTCTAAAATGTAAGCAATTTTATTTGTTTGAATTTACTGTTAAGCCTGCCTTGAAGAAATAATTAAGAACTGATTTCTGCTTTATCCATGGGTTTTTATTCCAGCCCAGAGATGAATGTCTTCAAATCTACTTTGTTTTTCAGTGTGCAGGCTTCTTTGGACAGTAATTTAAAAACCAATTTTAGGGATTATGAATATTCATGTAATATTATACAATACATATTTAACCCATAAATAATAAATTTTTAATCAGTGTCATCTCTGTAAGTCTTTGAGAGAAGGTGAAAAGCATATTTAATAAGTCTATTTTCTTTTATCCCTGCTGTGTAGTTGAAAGGCCACGGATTTAATGTATTCATTAAGATGCAAAAGACTGAAAATCTTACCTGCATTCACTGGGACACTCAGGACAATTCCAAGAGAAATCAAGGTGGGGTAGGTAACAGCAATCCCAAAATTTAGTAGAATATTGAATGCTGATGAAGGAAAGAAAAATGTCTTTTAGTACAGTGAAATTAGGCAGAAGGAATATCACTTGAAGCACTTATGCTTTATTACTCTATTTCTTGTTTAAATAAAGGGTACATCAGCTTCTGTAGTTTTTCCTGAAGATACCAGAGGACAAAGCTCTGTGTGCTGCATGTCCACCTGCCTCAGACATTGCTGTTTCTGGAGAACTCTGTATCCCTCTGGAGTCCAGTGGCAGGATCAGGGTGGGTTTTGGGTACAGCCTGTCTCTCAGTGCCACGTGCAGTAATTCCCACTCTTCATACTAACCCAGTGATCCCCATGGCCCTCCTGAAAGACTTAACACTCTTCATCTAGGAGATTTCAGCTGAACAGGAGCTTCTGTCTGGGTGCTTTTTTGTAGAAAAGCTGCCTCCAGTTGCAGGTGGAAGATGCTGTAAATCTAACCCTCTTCCAGGCAGGAACTTGCTAAATATAATTACATACTATGAAGTTATAGTATCATTACTACAGAATGATTGTAATATCATTCCATTATAATATCATACGCAGTTTGTGGGGTGTTTGACAAATTAATAATTGCTCTTGATCAAATTCACCCTTGTTTTAAGGTGATCAGCTTTAGCAGAGTCAGGAGAGCCTTGCCAATACTGAGCTTGTTGGGAGCTGTGGCTTTGACTGTCTTCCAGTAGTACCCATGTGTTGTACAGGCCAGGGATTGCTTGCCAAATTCTGCACCACTTTCTTACAGACACCTTCCTCTGAGTCCACTATAAGTAACCTGGAGGGACTTCTGGAGCTGTGATTGTTCAGGGTAAAAACAGCTGGGACTCAAGACAGGGGTAGAGAAATTTCCAGTAGAAGTTAATATTTTAGGAGAGGGGACTCCATTATCCAGCTTAGGGACCAGCTGTGGCAGCAAGTCAACACATCTAGTTTAACAAAGAACATCGTGTTTCTGGTAACCTTTAAAATTTAGATTGGCATCCCTCCCTGCTGGGCTCCTCTGGTGGCACAGCAGTGGCAGCACAAGAGAGGACTGCCACCTATCAAAATTTTTTCCATCACTGTGCAACGCTACACTCTCAAAAGTTTCCTCCTCTTTAGGAGCAGCAATTACTTCTCATTAGGAGTATCAATTAGTTATTACTGCAGGCAGCAGAGGCATTGGAGTCTGGCCTTGACTGGCCTGGCCTAACCTCCTTGCTGTGGGGATGCTGATAATGCCCTCCCAGCAGGGCTGCTTCTATCACAGCCCGGGCAAGTGCCACCTGTATCTGTCACACAGAGTTCATTAGTAGGAGTTAGGAGTTTAGTCCCACATCATCTTCTAAAGAGAACCACTAAAGAGAGTGTTTTGGTGTGGTAGTAACAGCAGAAGCGAGGTCTACGTTGCCTCTAGGAATGGGCCCTTTCATAATATCTGAAGCTAATAATTGAATTGAGAAGAAAACAGCTCCAGGATAGGAGAGGCTTGCAGTTTCCACCAGTGGCCAGTTTCTGGCATCCTCCTCCACCCCGAGCAGTGTTAGAACCCCCCCATCTACTCACTCAATAAGAGAATTGAAAATCCGCAGAGGTTCCCCCAAGGAATGATGTCAAAAGCGCTCCAGTACTCCACTTTGGTAAAATAAAGGATGACAGGAATACAGGTAACGAAGAGGACGTTGAAGACAGCTAACACAGACAGGAATAAGGCAGCTTCTCCAAATTTAGCACTGCCCAAAAGAAGTTTGAATAAAACCTAAAAGAGGAAAATACATGGGTTAAACTCTCTTGCACCACATCCCTGTAATGCTGATGTTCTGTTCTGGCACTTATGTAGTGATGCTTGCCGGATACTTGGGATGGCTGCTCATGAAACTGTGGTGAGCAGCTTGTGCGACCCAGCCTTCACCCTCCTGGCAGCCCCTGGAACACAGGCAGGGCCAGCTGCCAACTGAATCCATGCAGAAAGGGGATTCAGCACCTTTGTCTGTGCATGTCCTGAAAGCAAAGGTCACTAACCCTAACTTAGACCCTTCAACCCTAGCTTCGATCCTTCAGTCTTTTTTCTGCACCTCCAGAAAACTTGACATTAACAAGACTGTGGAGCAGAGCAGGGGAAGGAAAAGAAGCAATCTAGACAAAGAATCGCCTTGCATGAGACATCACTGGTCCAGGCCTTTGACTGCCACCCGAGCTGTGCTGTGGTGGTGGGCAAACATGGTCCAAGCTGACTGGCTGTCTTTCCACCTTCTCCCTGGGAACTCAGGAGGCAGATAGCAGAGCAGCAGTCCCATAGCCCAGAGTGCAGATGCAGCCTGGGCGATGAGACTGCAGGGAGGGATTAAAAAACTTTGGTTTGTTAGTGGGAGAAGGGAAATAAGACAGTAGAAATTAAGGATGTGAGCAGCCTATCTGTGGCTGGGTTCTGCCTGTGGACAGGTCTTGTCTGGAGTGTGCATGGGTTTTCACCACAGAGCTGCAGAGATTCTGTTGGATACATGGTCTGGGAACAGTTTTCCTTTGCTATTGGCTGCAGACCAGGACAGCCAAGGGACTCTGACTTAGTGGCTTGTGCTGCACTGGCAGTCCTCCTCACCAGTGCCAGTTCTCTCCTTTGCCTACACAGAGCTGGCAAGTCTGCAGGGCTGCCATGCTAGCAGGGATCTGCCCACTCCCACCATCCCACAGCCATCACTGGCCACTACAGCTGTGCTGCTGCTCTGCAGTATGGAGCAAAATGTCCTGAAAGCCACTTACTCCTCATTTGCCACCTGAGGACAGGGTGTTGTGTGGCCCCCAGCAGGGCCATCTCGACCCATCCTCCTTCCCCAGATATGCAGTGGCTCTGCTGCACATGGTGAGATCTGTCTGCCTGCAGATCTGCCTGCCCCTTTGGCACACACACAGCTCATGGAAACGGAGCCAGACTATGGAAAGCAGGAGCAGGGTGGCAGCAGCAGTGGCAGCGGCATGTGTTGCACAACAAGCTGCAGAGCTTCATCTGTCCTGGCATGCAGAGCACACTGCAGAGTAACACCCTGCTGCCACTGTCACTACCACCCTCCTGTGCACGGGCTCTGGTGAAGCAGCCCTGAGACTCCCATTCCCAGAAAGAGTAGCATGGGAAAGGGAACACAGCTAGGCTCTAGCCTTTAATTTTCTCTGGTTTGTTGGGCCATGTCTCTGGCCCTGCAAGAAAATACTGTATTATAGGAATGAGGTATATGAAACTTCATGACCCTCCTAATGTAAGATATCGTCTGATCTGAAAAAGTGAGCAGAAGGCATCACAGCGCTGTGCTGAGGGGCACAGGCAGGTTGCTTCTCAGTTTGGCAAGTCTCCCTGGACTGCTGGTGTTAGGGCTGCAGGGCTCTCCTGGCCAATTCCTCCTGGATGACCGGTACAATGCAATTCATTAGACCAGATGAAGCTGTCTACACCTCCTCCTAATCTACACATCCAAGCCAGGATGGGCAAACCACATTCTACAAATGCTAATTCCTCACTGTGGACTGTGACTCTGAGCACTCGGAGCAGCACAGAGGCAGGTGCCCAGAAGTGTCTCAGGCTGAGTGAAATGGCTCTGCTCAGCAGACAAGGCTGCATCTTACACATAGTGCAGCTTATCCAGCTGCTCAGGATGAGGTCTTGATTCATAGGCATGTGCTTTGCATTTTAAGGATGTGATTGCTTCCATGAAAAGCAATGCTTTAAGCCCAACACAGGCTACATATGTTACTGAAAAGGGACCAGCAAGGGGAGGTAACAAAATGACTTAAAGAAGCTAAATCTCTGCAGGTTGCTTCTAGAATGAGTGCTTAAATCCAGAATCTATGGAAAAGCGGCCTCATTTTTCATGAAGGTGGGACATCTGTATATCCTCCCCCTGGTGGAGGAGCACTGGAGAAGACTATTCCAAGGAAATAGGAGTTTCTATCCTAAGTGAGAGCAGACATCAAAGCAAGTGAACACCTGAAGGTAGTGCTGCAGAGCCAACGTGTTTATGGCAGAGCTCTCAAAGAAGGGCACATGGCACCGAATCGCACAGAGGTTTGCAAATAAAACAGGAACAGCCAAAGTGAGTGACGAGAGGGACAGGCATCTCCCTGAGGGCAAAGAGCCGGGTGTGCTTACCTTGTAGAGAGCAGACATTGAGGCAGAGCCCACCACCAGGGCTATCCCAATAACAGAGTGGCTGTGAAACCCATCGGCATACGTCATCATAACTATCCCTGCAATAGCAAATATAGCAGCCACGATCTGGTTGGAGACAAAGAAAGAAAGCAAGAAAGTGTTACTAGACAACCCCCACGATGGAGAAAGAGGCAGGCAGATTTACTTGCGAGTGCAGTACTTCTGCATCATCTGCTTATGTAGAAAATAGTAGCAAGCCCGGGCCAATACCCAGGGAGCAGATGCTGCCTGCCCTCGTGGTTTCCCTGGCTGCAGGGAAGCTGCAGGCAGAGCTGCAAAGGAGTGGCTGCTTCGGGCGTGTGCAACAAGCCAGACTGCAGGGCTCAGTGCCTCTGACTGAGCTGAAGTGGGGATTTAATCTCTGTCACTGAGCTTCCCCATCAGTGGGTCCCTGCAGCCTGTGCGTGACAATAAGACACAAGTAATAATTCCCTGGGGTTTGCAGAAAAGGCTTCGAGTCCTGTTGAAGTTTTGGAGGAAAAAGGTTATAGAAATAAACAGGGGAATAAAATTAATGCAACTACTTTCCAGTCTAGACGAGTCATTTCAGAGAGTAGGAGGAGGGTTTTTTTCAGCCAGCTACCCACACTGCAATGCCTGAGGGGGGACTTGCAAACAGAGGGAGTGTTCACAAAGGCAGGGAACGAGCTGCCAGATTTACCAGGGTCAGCAAGAAACCCCTGGCTCTCTGGGATTGTCCTGCCAGATACCTTCAGCTCTCAGGGTGTTAATTCTGAGATGAATAGGGCTTTCTATATGCTCATCCTTCCAGGCTCTGCAGAGCTGTGAGGGATGCCCTGCTTACACCACATGCCTTTTGACTGCACAGTCATGGTGATGCCTGTGAACACAGATGATCCACAGATGGGTAAGCGCTGTCCCCTCTCCCAGGATCAGACTGGGGTTTTAAGCCCCATCCACAGGCTGCAGCTGCCTACACATTCATGAGTCTCCTCTCATCTTTCCTGCTTCCCACCAGAGATACAGGGGCTGCTATAGATGCAGGGGAAAAGTCTGTATGTCGAGCTCTGCTGCTACCTGATCAGCAAGATGTGGTGAGGTAGCCTCTTTACCAGCTGCAGCTCCCAACCCCAGCAGCACCAGCAGCCTCTTCCCTGGGCTGAGCTGGGGCTGGTGCCAGGGGACACCCATAAACCAAACAAGCATCCAGCAGAGCCTTCCTGCACACTGACATCAACACCTTCAATTTTCCCCTAACACAAAAATGGCCCATTTTTGCAAATGAAACCTTATCCATTTCTCCACAGGTGTTGCTGTATAATGGCAGGGTGGCATAAGGCAGGACACTGATTTATTACTTGATCAGGGTGGAGCCCTGATCCACAAACTGCAGAGGCTGGGTATACATGCTGCAGATTTGGAGAAGTTCAGGTGCAGCATCTTTGCTTGCAGCCTTGTTGGCATCTGGTCTCTCCATGCTCAGCTGTGGGACATAATTTCTAAAGTGAAGTTTTTTGGTGGTGTAACTGGGCCCTATGGTCCAGGACATTATTCTTTTTAAGGCAAGCAGAGAACTCCTCATGCTTGGCTCTACAGCAGTGTGGGGCAGTTCTCTCACCAGTGTGCTGCTGCTTGTCAAATAAAAACTCAGACACTCTGTGTGGCTTCAGAGGCATAAGAAAAAAGGCCATTGAATGAGACTAGTATGAGGCAGGTACAGAACAAGGAAAAAGAGACTTGCCTTCACCCAGCACATAATTAAGTGAAGGAAAGCTTTGATGTTGCACCCTGTGGATGTGAAATTTTACAAGGATAAACTCATGGAAGAAAAAAATTCCATCACGACTATTAGCTATAGAAACACTGCTTCCATCCCAGGAAGTCCTTGAGCCTCAAATTATTGGAGCTGGAAAGTCTCTTGAGGAAATAGTAAAGGCTTTTCCTATTTAGACAGATTTTTCTAGGTGCCCACGACAGGCAGCTGCTGCAGGCAGGCTTCTGGGACAGAGGCACCTTTGCTCTGACTCACTATGGCTCTTTGGAGAGCTGCAAGGTACATGGCTCAGGCTTAGCTGGAAGATGGCAACTCTGTACCTTCCTTCAACATCACCTGTGCTACAGGTGAATTCACAAAGAGTGGAAGATGCAGCATTTCCTGTAGCATCTGCTCCAGGTGTGGCTGTCCTCCTGTGAGCTGTATGGGGCTTGTCCAGCCTTCACTGGGGGCTGAGAAGAACCACAACTAAATTCCAGGCTGTGGCATCTAGCTGGCACCTGCACGTGCATCAGCAGAGGAAACCTGCCTCAACTCCCACAGGCAGCTGTAATGCCTCTGCACTGGAAACTTGGGAGGTGCATGCATGAGCTGCACAATGAAAAGTCTCCAGCTTTTTTTTTTAAGATTTTTTTTTTAAATTTAACACCAGGAGCTGATCAGCTTCAGAGCACCTTCCAAGAGACCATGTCTCTACAGTTTGAGATTTGATAGGATATGTATTTCCAAGTCCCACAGGCAGATGTGCTTGTCTATATGTTATGTACACAGGAGGCACTTGCAGGTGATGGCTCTCTTGGATCCTGAGCTGTTTTATTCACTGTAGCATGGAGGAAAACACAAAGTCAAAGATCAAAGCAAATAAATGAAGTCTGCAAACAGTTCTTCTGGGGCAGAGGTCCTTGCCTATTCCATCAATCATGTCACAAGTGTCAGATGAGTCTTGGCCTCACTTCACAGTCTCCTGTTGACCTACCAGAGGTGTCACATACACATTCTCTGAAAGCCTTTCAGCTTTTCTATCAAGCACGTTGTTAGTGGTGGTGACAGGCTGCTCACACACCACAGTGCCCACAGATGTCACAGCACTGCAGGGTTTGCAGAGGCAGTGCTTCAGGCACCAACAGCTTCATTATGTGTGTGTCTTTGACAGCTCACAGCCAAGTCAGTCGTTCTCTGGATGCAGTGAAGGGCAAGGGGGGAAAGCTCAACTTCATTATGGGAGATGAGGACACTTAGAAGTACCAGAATGGCAAGGATGGGAACTTGTAATGGCCTTCAGAAGTGCAACTACTAGCCCTATAAGCACATAAATCAAAATTTAGCTGGAATTTAAATGTAAGAGCGAAGTAGGATACTTGTACTTGCTTTAACCCCTCTGAGTGGCTGCCTTTCTCACCTTGCCTCTGTCAGTGGGCATGAACAGGGACACCCAAATGTGCAGTCAGAGCTTTGCTGTGGCACTATCCATCCTGATGCACTGGTGTGGGGATGGAGCAGGAGTAGGGGAAGACACTCTCCCCCTTGAAGCCTTGTCTGTCAAATACCCTCTCAAAGGGTGCTTTTAAGAGCATCAGCACTCTGACACAGGGTGGCCCTGAGGGATCATGTGCTTTGGGGCTGGGCTGTGTGGTGGCTGCAGCCCCTAGGTCACTCCCAGCAAAGCCCTAGCAGCTGTCTTTCCTGCTGGTTGCCAGTCCCAGGAAGAAGGTGGTGTGTTGGGGGAGGCTATCCCCCAGCAGTGACACTCTTTCTGCCTGTTGCTTTTCACATGGGCTGTACAGAAAAGAGAGGAAAGAGGAAAGAAAATTATTCTCTCCAAAGACTCCATGCTATGTCCCTCTCAGACAGGAGTGCACCAGCACTCCCACTATGCCACACAAAGCTGGGTGGTAGAACTGCTGTGCTGCCATGTGCCCTTCCAATCCCTAAGGACAATCCCTCATATTGCCACAGGTTACAATGCCAAAACTGCTTAAGAGCAAATAGCCCAGCCTGTCTGCGAACCCCTGCTCCCAGATCCCTTGCCGACCCGTCACCTGAGAAGGAGACAGCTATGTTCCTTCTTGGATTCAGGAGACAGCTTGTTCCTTCTCGGGAAGCCCCCCTGCCACAGTGTCACCAATGCCAGGTTCCACAGGGAGGGGCTGGAACACACGGCAAGAGTATCACACAGCCACCACTGCCCTGACCCCTGCTCTGCTTCTCTGCTTCACTGCTGCTTTCCCAAAGTAGTGCAGAAAGGAAACAAAAGACAGTTGGACATGGCTGGGACCAGCACTTGGGTCTGCTTCTCTGCTCTTTCCACTCCTTCTGCCCCTTTGAGAAGGGAGGCATACAGAACAGGACTCATTTCTCAGTGCATGTCCCCGGCCATGGCACAAGACAACCTGTCCAAGAAGCTGCTGAAAAGTCCCTGACCATCTTGGCTCTTCCATCATGGCCATGCACTCAGGAGAGCCCAAGAAGCACCTCTACTCCAGCCCACGTGGGTATCCCTACACACACAGGTTGTCTTCTTTCCCACCACACCCCAGCCATGGTGAGAGATGGCACATTCAGACCGAGAAGCAAGCTGCAGGTGCAGACTGCAGTGGTCACCTTTCCATACACCATCTCTCCTGGTGACCCACCTGTGCTACAGCTGACAGTGCCACAAGAGAGATGAAGACATAAAAATACCTTTTTAAATTTTCATTTATCAAAATGGCTAGTACATCCAGCTTTGATAACAATGAGACTTCTCTAGCTCCAGGATCATTTCAGGATGCCCTTGGTTCTGCACTCAAAAATCACAGTTAATTTGTTTTTAGAGTAGGGCTTCTTGGGCAGAGGGGTGTGCAGACACCAGCTGGCCACGCTGAGCTTTTGGCAGGTACATTTTGCAACCATCCCCTGAGCAGCCTCTTGGCTGCCACCACCGAAAGGCTGGCCAAGCTCTCCTGCCAAATTCTCTGGCCAGAGAGGAATACTTCCTGAAAAGTTAACTCTCAGCTACTCCATGCAACAACCTCTTCTTAGCACTACCAGCCTGGGTGGGTGAGCAGGGAGCTCCTCAAGTAGTGGGCAGGAGACAGGAATAATTACAGTTATTGCTGTTGATCTAGATTATTAATTAATATTAATTGGTGAAGCGGGGAAGGAGGGATCCACTGGTGCCTTTTCCTTGCAGTGGTGATGCCTCTTCCTTGGCCCCGGGGTGGTGGGTTACTCACCCATCCACTCTGCTGCCAAAGGACATGATGTGCTGCTAGAATGGCAGCAGGGTCAGCAGGGAGCTGAGGGATTTTCTGCTAAACCCTCTGTATGTGGCTCTGTTGCTGCTGCTGCAGAGGCATTCTTGTAGGGTGCAGCACTAAAGGTGTAAGCAAACATTTGGGGTGACATCAGAAGGGCAGCCTGCGGACACCAACCTTCCACCAGTGTCACATGCAGACACGCGTTTCGGCCACAGGTGGGCGAGGGCAGCCCAGCTCTCCTCTCCTGCCCGCAGCTGCTGCTCCCTGATGCGGATGCAGAAGATGACTGTCCCACCCTGCAAGCCTGCTGTCACACTAGAAAGGTGAGGACCCTGTTAAATTCCCAGGATGGGACCAGAAGTGCATTGTGTGTAGCCAGGGCTTGTGAGAATGCACAGTTAGAAACAACCAGGTCTGGGAATAGTCACTTGGAAGGCACTGGCAAGGGCTGACACACATCCACATATCCTTTGTGACACACTCTAGAGCACGTTACCTCTTTCCTGAAGGAATATGCATTGGGTTTGTTTCCAATGAGTTACCTCTTTCCTGAAGGAAAGGCATTGGGCTGGGGGAGCCAGGGGCCCCAGGAGCTCCCAGGCACCTGGGAAGGCTGCAGGGAAGGAGGGATGCATCCCTACTCCACAAGGACTTCCGTGCCCACGCAGCTGTCTGCATGGGTGCTGTTGACTCAGCTGGCAGGAGGCAAGGGGTAAAGGAAAGACACAAGGGTGAGGGGGAAGAGGGGAGACAGAGATAAGGAGTCACTTACCCTCACTCCCATGAACCTGTCCCTCAGAACGATCCATGAAAGCAAGAACACAAAAGCTTTGTTGCAGCAGAACAACACGGAGACATCCGTAGTGTTTATTTTCTTTATTGCATGTAAGTAAAGGTAGTTTGTGAGTGTCCAAAGAACACCAAAGGGTGCTGCCTTGGTAAAAAACACCTTCAAAGTCAAGCCATTGTCTCCAAAAAATCGGCAGCACTCCCTAAAACAAGGAGAGAAAGGCAGTGTTATTACATAAGCCAGTCACAGTCTGCAGCAAATATACGGCTCTTTTTGCTCCTCTTCTTTTCCTTTGGGGAAAGAGAGGCACACACCTTAAAAAGGAGAAAAATAACAACTTCTGCTGCAACAGCCAGCACCTGCACAGGGTACTAACAGGCAGGGGCTGTAAACATGGGAGGGGGCTGCAAAGAAAGAGCAAAGGTAGAGGTGACGATAGGAGGTGAAATCTCACTCTTTCCACCAGTTCCTTCACAGTGAACATCTGGAAGCAGCGTGGGGCCATCCTCCTTCCTTCACCCCTATGGGCACCAGGATGCTGAGGGCCCAGGGTTGGCAGCAAAGCCCCAAGCTCCCTGCTCCTGCTGAAGCCACGGGAAGCTGGTGCCCCTCTGATCTTCTATGTGACACTTGGCAGAAGCCTTGCAGAAGCCCTCTCGGGGGTTTTTCCACCCAAGGGATGGGACCTGGATCAAATCTCCAGCAGCGTCAGGGCAGGAGCAGAAGGGGGCGGCAGGCAGCTGCCTGCTCCTCCTGAGGTGAGAACATGGCATGGGGACACGCTGGAACCTGGGGACATGCTGAAGCAGCAGTGGAGAGGCAGGAGCTCATGTGTGCAGTCCAGGCTGGTAATGCTGCGAATCCCTGAGCAGGAGGCAGCCTGAGCATGTTCAGCCCTGGCACAAAGAGCAGAAGCACCAGCAGTTTGTTTGTGTCCCGAATGCAGCAGTGGGCAACGGGACACAGGAGGTGACGGGGTGCACCCTGGCCCTGCTGGCATGGCTGGCATGGGGCTGCAGGGGTGGGGGAAACCTGCCTGCAGCCTGTGCCTGCCTGGCAGCAGAGCTGGAAGCTGCCAGCTGCATGGAAATTCAGTAACACAAAGAAGGAATGAATCAGCTGCAGGGCTGGGGCTGTGGCCAGCAGCCTGCAAGGTGTGTGTGGGGCAACCAGCACAGTGCCCTGGCCTGCACTGCCATTGCTCACTTTCAAACCTGCAGTCTTCCAGAGGCCCTGAAGTACTTTATTGGGGTGTTTGACAAAACCCGAGCAGAATTAAATTTCCTGCTGACAATGATGGACAAATAGGTTTTCACTACTGTCATGAGTTTCAAGCTGTTTGTTTCCTGAGACTGGGCATGTAAAGATCATTATTTGGACAGTGATGAAAGCATTGTTTTGATCCACTTTCTCAAAAGACAGGGCTGAATCAGATGAATACCTAAAAAAACCCCATCCATTCTTTGAGCCTCATCAGATCTCTGCATCCACAAGTATACATCAGCCTACTGCCCCTCTGCTACAGGAGGTACAAGACTTCAAGGTAGAGGAAACACATTTTTTGTGTTTATTTGGTTTTGTTTTCTGTCAGCCCCTTGTACCAAATCATAGCTATGCAGAACTTACCCATCTCTGGATGTGATGACCCTGTACTTTGGCTGCTGCACATGGCCACTTTCTTTTGAGCTGCTGGTTCTGAATTGTGTCGCTCAGTGTCCCTTGACCTCTGCAATATTCCCTGCTGGCAGCAGCCTATTCCCTGCCAAACCTGTTAACTGCCTTTCTGAATCAGCAGAAGAGCTGCCCATCTGCACTACAAACCACAGCCCAACTTCCCACCTGCTGGAGCCCTGCTGGGCTGTTCAGGGATGCTCATGACCCTGACAGATGCTGCCTGTGCTCAGCATGTGGCCCGGATCCATTCTCCCCTTCCACAAACACTAATACCCACTTTAGGTCTGGTCTTCAGCCCTGCACAGCCCCGACTGTACCAGACACTTGCTGCAGGGGACACAGGGAGTGCAAAAGGAAGCAGAGACACGTTGAAAAAGCCAGTCCTGAACTTCATTAGAGGCTTAAACCTGCTTCCTAAGACACTATGGAGGGTTTCACTGACAGCACGTCATAAGCAGCCAGCCTCATGCTCTGAAAACAAAAAACACAGGCACAGTTTAAATTAAATGGCATGAATCAAGATTAGCATGAGAGGAACAGGAAGGCTGTACTCAAATGAAAGGACAAAAATGGAATTTATTTTGGGATTCATCCTGGGAAAAAAAGTTCCTCCTGCCAAAAATCTGTTCCCCATATATAGAATTGGCTATCACTATTTCATGTACAGTAGAAACATGTGCTTTTACTGTCTTGTGGGCCTGACTCTTGTTTAGTAAACACCACTGTATTCCTATGATATCACAGCCTGGATTCCTGAAGCTTCCAGTGTAGTGCCAAGCTGCCCCAAAAGACAGCCTTGCCCTGACATGGATCATGACCCTGAGCTGCAGTGCCCACTTTGGGAGTCTCTCTCTGCCCTATACAATAAAGCTTCCTTTTAGCTGTTTTGGCTGGCTTCACCAAGAGTGAATTACTTTTTATAGGCTGTCTCCAGCTTTCAAAGGAGACCTCCTTATGGCCCAGATTTCCTTACTCAGCACAGAGCTGTAAGGAAGCTTCTCCCCAAGGACTCCTAGGGCTGTGGAGGGTGCTGCCAGCCATGCACCCACATCCACAGTGAGCCCTGTTGCTCCAAACAGGGGCACTCCTGCAGATGGGTTAGATGGCTGCCTTGGACCTGGCATCTTCAGTGAAGTATGAGGATCATCTAGGAGAATGTGGCATATTTTGTGTACCAGAATAGCTATGTGCCATAATATAAACCTCTTACAATTAATTGTCTCCCCAGGTTTGCCACTGCTTACTGGGAAAACTGATTTTTCCTTGGTGCCATAGACCAGCTTGTGAAGCCATACCAGGAAGCATTTGATGAAGAGAGTTTTCAGTGAGTAATGGTAGATAAATAGTTATGGGAAGCAAGGCAGAACTGTGGTATAACCTACTCTGTAAGCTCAAAACAGTCAGGGATGACTCCAGAAAAAACGACTTTCAGCTTAAATATTTTGACAGAACATTTGAACACAGCTGTTCCTGCTGTCCACTAATTTCTGGGCCCAGCACAGACATGGGCACATTCACCGTGTTAACTCTCACACTGTGTTAAAAGAGAAATTGTCATCTTAGACTAACCAAACCTATTCCTGGTCACATTACCAGAAATCTTGCACCTGCTGCTCTCACCTGCCTCCTCAGCCTGAAAGCTTTGGTGCTTTCTTGACAATACAGTTTTGCTTGCTAGCAACACCCTGCTTTGCCCATGGAACTGTGGGACTTGGAGTGTGGACAGCAGCCGGAAAGGCTATAGGGGAAAGTTGATGCAAACAAAGCTCAGGTGTGCCCTGGCCCTGTAAATCCCCAGGTCATGCTAAGCATGTCTCCTCTTTGGCAGAGAAGGTGCCCTGCAGAGCCCCTCTGCTGAGATGATCTCCCCCTTAATCTCTGTAATCCTCTATGTGAGGAGTAAATTCCTGCAACTGCCTAGCTGAGAGCAGATAAGGTGGCAGCTCACAGCAAGGAGCTGTGGCATTGCAGGGTGTAATGCTGTATTTTTGAGATAAATTATCTTCCTGCATTATTTTCCTCAATTCTGCCATCATGAGCTGGCGCTCCATTGTAATCACAACAATTGGTTTAAAATATAAATGCAAGGCATTAACAAATGCAACAGCCAAGGTCTGTGTAAGACTGGAAAAGTCAGAGGAAGGAGACTGGAAGGGAAACATACTGGCTTAATTGCTGTAGCAGCAATACAGAAAAGTTTGCTTCCACCTAGAAGTGCCATATCCATGTTCAGACAACCTGAAGGCTGCTATGGTACAACAGGAACTCGGGTAAAAGATTCTATAGAAAAGCCCAAGGCACAGCGATCTTTTATTGGTGTCTTAACTTTGAATTGTTTGCTGTTTTCTTTAGCTTTCATGTACTACATCTTGTTCTTACTCATACTCTTTTTAGTGTGTATCTTCATTAACCCAGCAAATGGCAAATTAGCTCTACTCCATTAGGCAAGTCTCCAGCACAATACTAGCAAAATAACTCTGTCACTGGAAACAAGCATCCCCAGTGAAGTTAATCAGAAGTCATCAGTGCCAAAATTCTATGCTAAGTAAGAGTTAATTATATTGAAAGCAGGTGTTGCAGTCAAATAAAATTTGCAAATGAAATATGACAGTAAAGCTCCATTTTTTTCCCCACTGAGTTCACAATTATATATTTAACACTATTCACCTTCCACTGCCTGCTTTGTCTTTAACCATTGCTAGGCACTCGTGATGTTTCCCCACTTTCCTGAACCTTGTGCAAATGAATTTATAAAATCTTGCCAACACTGGAATGAATGTTTTTTTCCCTATTTTGAAAAAAGAAAATCCCACCTATGAAGAGGAAAGGTAGAGATGAACCAGAAAAAGTACAAACATTGTGTTGCCCCAGGCCAGGGGTTTGGTCTCTTGATACTCCCTGCAGAACAAACCTATGCCAAAAAGGTTTGTAAGCCATTGAAAGTGCCATTACATCTTTGGGAAATTTGCAGTAAAGTAGAAAATTTCTGGGAGTAATACACATCCTAAGGGAATACTTTGCACAAGCCAGTTATTTCTCCTTTCCAGACTGTTAACTTTTGCTAGATTTTTTTTCATTGTCTCAGTGTTCATACTGGAGCCTCTTCCTCCAAACCTGATTTGGATCTGCTGTTGCTCTTAGAGGGTAATATTATTTCTTTGTAGACTGTGCTTCTTACTTTGACCTTGCAAGGTCTGTACCTGCAAATTGAATTTGGCTAAATTGCTTCTGATTTTCAGCAGAGTGAGCATCACCTCCCTGGAGCACAGCAAAGCCACCACTGTGCCAGTGAATCCGTCTCCTTGATTAGAGATTGGCAGGCAAAACATGTTTTGCTAATCCCTGCACCAATTAGGCCTGCATGGATAAATAATCTGCAGATGTGCAACAGTCTTACATTTTCTGTTCAATGTACAAAAAAAAGACATGGACTAAATGTCATGCCGTGTCTTCTGGGAGGACTCGCAAGCCAGTTGTAGTAAGTAAAAGCAAAGCAGACAGACAAGATATGTTGACAGTAATAGGAGA